TCGCCATGCTACCGCCCGTGGCCGCCTTGTGAACTGGGTGGGTCCCACGAGGTTTCGCCACGTGACCGCCCGTGGCTGCCTCTTGGCCGCCTCGTGCGCTGGGTGGGTCCCGCGAGGTTTCGCCACTTTGCGGCCCGTGGCCGCCTCGAGGCCGCCTCATGCGTTTGGTGGGTCTGGCGAGGTTTCGCTACGTTGCGGCCCGTGGCCGCTTCGTTCACGCTCTAGCGTGCACCACGTATACTGCACAGCATAGCTTACACTGCACAGCTTGCACTACATCGTGTACAATTCCACAGTGAAGCCTGATCGGACAAGAACGGGAAGCGCCGCTTAAGTCCAATTGGCTCGTTGAGCGAAGAAGAAGGAAAGGAAGGCGATGGCAACGAGGAGGCGATGACGAGGACGACTTGGAGAACGTGAGGATAGCGAGGAGGAGCATGAGGACAACGAGGAGGAAGAGAAGCACAAGGATGACGAGGGCGAAGAGAACGAGGGCGAGCACGAGGAGGAATGCGGAGGACGACGACGACGACGCCGGAGGACACTAAGAGGCAATTGGAGCAGGATCTTGAATCAGGAGAGGGTCCTGGTTGTCCTATCGGGCTACCCTGGGGGCTCCTGGCGCCGCGCGGGGTTGTCTTGGGGCCTGTTGGGGGCTTCTCGAGGGCCGCTTGGGTCCTCTTGAGGGTTTCTGGGGTCTTTTTGGGATGTCTGGGCGCGTCGTGGGGCTCTTTGGGAGCTTGCTTGGGCCGTCTCGGTGCCATCTTGGGCCGTCTTGGGGCTTTCTTGTGCTGTTTTGGGGCCTCTAGGGGCGCTCCCGGGAGTCTCTTGGGGCCCTCTTGGCCCGTCTTGGGCCGTGTTGGGATTCTTGTGAGCTGTCTGGGTCCCTCCTGCAGCGCTCTTGGGGGTCTCTTGGGGTCCTCTTGGGCCGTTCTTGGGCGCTCCTGGGGCCCTCTGGGGCGTCTTTTGGGTCTCCTTTGGGCCGTTCAAAAGCCCTGCGTTTCTAAGACGATGTCGATCCGGAGTCCCCTCCGGGGCCGATTGTTGAGGATGTCCCGAGCGAATCGGCCATATTTCAGAAACCGTTCCTGACATGAACGGGAAGCGCGTGGAAGGGAAGAGTTGCGCGAGAACTTGCAGCATCATCTTGATCAAATGCAATTTAGGCGAGCTCCCCGAACGCTCACAAGGGATACGTATGGACACGCGCCCCCCGAACGTTCACAAACATATTCCTGAGTATCCTCCTGACTCCTCCGCATGAGGAGGACGACGGCGAAGGCGACGACTGGGCCAGGAGGGGGAGAAGGAGAAGGAGGAGGAGGAGGAGGAGGAGGAGGAGGAGAGGGGGAGGAGGAGGAGGAGGAGGACGAGGAGGAGGAGGAGAAACATGAGCAGGAGGAGGGAGAGGAGGACGAGGACGACGAGGAGGAAGAGGAAGGAGAAGGAGGAAAAAGGGGAGGAGGCGGAGGAGGAGGAGGAGGGAGAACAAGAGGAGGCGGAAGAGGAGAAACAGAAGCAGGAGGAGAGGGAGGAGGAGGACGACAAGGAGGAGGAGGAAGGAGATGGAGGAAAAAGGGGAGGAGGAGAAGGAGGAGGGGACGAAAAAGAGGATGAGGAGGAAGAACAGGAGGAGTAAGAGGGGGAAGAGGGGGGAGGAGGAGGTGGAGGAGGAGGAGGAGGAGGAGGAGGAGGAGGAGACCGACGAGGAGGAGGAGGAGGAAGGTGGAAAAAAGGGAGGAGGAGGACGACGAGGAGGAAAAACAGGAGGAGGACGAGGAAGACGAGGAGGAGAAGGAAACGGCGGAGGAAGCGAAGAAGGTGAAGAAGTAGGAGAAGGAGAAGGAGGAAGATGAAGAGACCAGATGGCTTCGAGTGCCAGCGCGAAGGCATGTGTTGGGGGATCTTTCGAGCGAAACGCTGGCTGTTAAACACACGTGTGAAAAATCCGCGGGTGTTCCAAACACTTCGCTTCTTGGGCCATCTGGGGGTCATCCGATATCGCTCCGAAACGATGCCTTACACAAAACCGCTGGCGCATCTAATGTGTTCGAAGATTTCTCCGGCGAAACGGCCATTCTTGGAGGTCCGAAGAATAGGAATGCAATTTCGCCATCCCCATGTTCCGAGGATGTCTCGGGCGAAACGCTCATGATTAGCATACGACGTCTTAAACTACGACCCCAGAGATCTCGATTTGGCAAGGACGTCTTAGGCGAAACGCTCGCTTGTCAAACCTTTTCCTGACATGAACGGGAAGCGCGTGAAATGGAACGTTTGCGCAAGAACTTGCAGCATCAGCGCGATCAAATATAACATGGGCGAGCTCTCCGAACGCTCAAAATGGATCCATATGGACACGCGCCCCACGAACCTTCACAAACGTATTCCTGCATATCCTCCTGACCCTCTCCTCCGCACGAGGAGGACGACGGCAAAGGCCGCGACTGGGGGAGGAGGGGGAGAAACAGGAGGAGGAGGAAGAGGAGGAAGAGGAGGAGGAGGAGGAGGAGGAGGAGGAGGAGGAGGAGGGCGAGGGGAGCAGGATGAGGAGGAGGAGGAGGAGGGGAGGAGGGGGAGGGGGAGGAGGAAGGAGCAGCAGCAGCAGCAGGAAAGAGGGTGAGGAAGGGAGGTGGAGGAGGACGAGGAAGAGGAGAAACATGAGGAGGAGGAGGAGGAGGAAGGAGAAGGAGGAGGAAGGGGAGGAGGAGGAGGAGGAGGAGGAGGAGGAGCGCACGTACCCTCTGAGGTGCGTCCCTGGAAGGTCACTCTCGTTGGGAATAAACACTCAGCTGCCCTCCAGCCCTGGAGGAGGATGAGGCACGAGGGACAGCAAGGGCAGGGGCATCACGGCGAGGCGGCTGCCTGGCGGAAGCTCTCGCTGCCGCATTGGTGTCGATGCACGTCAGGGCTGCATGCCTGGCGCGAAACGACGTGGTGTAGGATCCTTGGAGGTGCGGGTTCGAAGCGAGCTCGCACCTTAATTTATGATATATATATGAAACGCAAGGACAGAGAGATGATTACACCGACAGATATCGATGATATCATACTCACAAGCTACATTATGGGCAGATGGAGGTCATAGCCCAAGACGGATCAGCGGGTCCTGTGGGATCACCGCGCGTGGGAGTGCACACAGATGAGAAAGACGAGGGCAACGAAGGTAGTGGCCGATCGAGTCAGGTGCGCGAACTTCGATCCCCAAGACCTCTTCGCTGCACCCGAAACGGCAACCTTTGGGAGTCAATGTTCCGACACGCGAGGAAGTGATCCACGCTCCCGCGAGGGTCTTGAGATGGGGCCAAACAAACGAGGGGGGCGGGAGGATAGCACAGCTTTAAGAGCCGACCAACGTTTGGCAAGCTCTGCAGCATCAGGCAGTTGCTGATCAAACATCCACTTCGGCAGACGACGAGCGAGAAGGTTCGGAATGGAGTCGGGGAACAGATCAGCGCATAGAGACCGAAGGAGACGTGTCTGTCTGCTGGGGCCGGCCCTTTTCCGCCGACGCTCTCCGTCGTCCGCGGCAGGAGCAGGCGGTAGCTCCGCAGCGTCGTCAACGGCGCGACGGAAAATCAGTCGAGGAATTCGCGACATCGCGACGAGGGACCGTTTCGCCCTCGCCTGGATCACCGTCGGAAATTCATGCAGCGGCTCCTCGAGAGCCATAAAAAACTGGGCAATCGAAATACGACGTTTCCAAAACCACGGCGACCACTCCTGGCGCACAAGGTCTATGATCGCACCGAAATCCTCCGCCGCCGTCCTCAGACGCTCACCGACGCCCCTCCATCCTCCGAGTGTGGTGTGGCTCGCGCGCCACGCGTTGGCTACGCATGAGAGCTCTACTGGCAGCGGCGCGGCCGATGCCATCCACCGACCAAGCCCCAGGAGCTCCTCGATGCGAAACGAGTTGGAGGGGATGCGAAGCAGCTTGTGCAGCGCCAAGCTTTCCTTGGAGAGGAGGTGGGGGTCAAGGGGAAAAAATTGGGCAACGTGCGAAAGGCACGGAAGGACAACCATCAGGTAGAGACGGCAAGAGGCCTCAGAGGGTGCCCGAGACAAAGCAATCTCTCGGCACCTAGACCACCATTTCTGGCCAGGAGCTTTCCACTGGGCCCGCAGGTCGGCCTCAGGGCCGAGACAAACCCCGAGGTACTTCGCAGCGCCCACGATTTTAAATTTCTCCAACCCTGGGGCAACCTCAGCGAGGGCCTCTCTCGCACGGCAAATCGTCGATTCATCGCGCGGGGCCCAAAGAGGGACGAAACAACACTTACTAGGCTGGAGCTGGAGTGAAGCAAGTTGCTCGGCTTGCTCGAACGCGCGGCGCATATGCTTGGCACTCTGGATGGTCATTGCGACCGCGCCAACATCGTCGGCGCACCCCCCGAGGGTCCCCACTTGCTCCGACGGAAACGCCATGGCCAGACAACGCACCCAGGGATCGAAACCGAGCGCCCAGAGACTCCCCGACAAAGGACACCCTTGGGGGACGCCTGACGTGATAGAAAAAAGCGGCTCTACATTTTCACCCACACGGGCGCGTCCGAGGGCGCCGCGTGCCAACCCGTCAAGCATGTTGCAATAGGAGGGGGGGGGGGACGAAACCGCTCAAGCGTGCGACGGAGGAAAAGTTGAGACATGCTCGGGAAGGCAGCACGCACATCGAAACTAAAGAACCCTGGGAGCCGCTCGGCCGCCGCTGGAAGGAGCCCCGCCCGCCGGCATTCGGCATCGAGAGCAACAATGTGCTCGCCGAACTTCCTTCCAGCAACGAACCCTTCCTGGACTCCATGGGTATCTCTAGCAACGACGCCAGCTAGATACAGGTTGACCGCAGCGGCCACACCTTTACTGTCCGAGTTCTTTAAAGCCAGGGGCCTCGTGCACTCAGGAGATCTCGTGCAGTCCGCGAGGTCCGAGGGCTCGTCGCCTTTGGGCAGGAACGCCAGCAAGCAATCGTTGAAGTGCTCAGGCGGCCGCCGCCCGCTAGCCATCTCTTCCAATACTCTGTGCAGCACCATGGTCAGCTGCGGATGGCCGCGCCGCGCGCGAGCTGGGAGTCGATCAGGTCCAGGAGCTGAATCCTTCGCCCGCTTGAAGACGAAGCGGAGGTCGTCAATTGTGGGCATCTGCAGCATCGCATTATCAAGCTCGGGCATGTGACGATCCAGGAAGGGGCCGACCAGGTCCTCACGCACAGGGGAAGCCGTGAAGGCGGGCTCCCAGTGCCTCTTCAGTGCCTCGACCATGGAGTTGGGATCACGCACCACCTCGACCTCCTCACGGGCCCGCGCCCCCGACGCTGCCATGCTGGTCATCTGGCCCTGCCTGACACCCGCCAGGATCAGCATCCGCTTAGTGTTGTTCCACAGCAGCGCCCGCTGCACCATCACCGTCGCGCTCCGCTTGGTAGTGCGGCCTGCTCCCTGACGCTCCAGCGCAGCAGCTTCGCGATCCAACATGGCAGCCTGCGCTTCCTTCACCCGGTTGTGGAACGCGTCGGGCTGCCTCAGCTTCACCTCGCGCCCCTCGGTGTAGAGCTCCCTCTCGCCGACGATCGCGTGGTTGATCAACTTCTTTGCCAGCCGCACGTCCTGGCGCCACACCGCGCGAGCCGCAGCGCCAAAGGCCAGCAAAGTCGCTCTTCTCGGGATATCACCTTCTCCTGTGACTTCCTTGGCCAGGAGTTCGTTACGCGCAGTCCCCGCCGCCACCGTCATAAGTTCCTTGATCACCTCCCATTGGCGGTACGGTTCCATCATCTCGTAGTTGCATCCGTCAATGCACCTCTCGAGGGCAGCACGATACTCACCGCTCTTGAAGATGAAGGATGGGATGCGCTGGTGGGCCGAAGCAGGCGATCGTCGAGTAGCCATCCGAAGTTTGATGATCGCATGGTCGCTCAGCTGCTTGGCATTCAGTGTGAAGGCGCCCTGGATCACCTCCACGCCCATCTCAGTCTCAATGGCGAAGGCCGACTCGATAGAAACAAAGACCCGATCAATAGCCCTCAGGGCATTGTTATCAGCGGTGTAATGAGTCGGGATTGGAGAACAAACCTCAAGCATCGCCGCATCATTGAAGAGCTCACGCCAGAACGGCTCCGAGCGGTTGGCACGGCCTGCCTCTGATCTCCTCGCTTGTTTCGGTTGTGGATACAGAATGGACTCCGTCGGCACATCAGTCATGTTGAAGTCACCGCCAACGATGAACGTGTGCTTCATCGGGTCGCGCTTCGACCAGGCGATGCATTCCTTCCAGACCCGCTTGATCTTTGTACGACCCGCCTCCGAGATATCGTAGTTGTGAATATTCATAATGCGGAACTCACCCTTTGTCACAGGGTTCTCGATGCTCGTCATGATGGCTCTACCATCCTCCAAAGTGCGATGACGGAGGCGAGGAAGTCCCGTCGCCCCAGCAGCCGCCACAGTGCGCTCGTCATACCATGGAATCAAAATCGCCACCCCGCCTGCACTGGGACGGTCCGTCCCCGAAAAATGTATCTTGTAGTTCACGTTAAACTGTTTCAAGTAGTTGGTCAATGAGATCTCGAAGCCATGGACCTCTTGAATGATAACAACGTTACGTTTGCGAAGAAGGTCAGCCACTATTGCAATTTTACGGCGACGCCGAGCAGGATCCCGACGTAGCAGAAGACCGTGGGCGTTCCAGCAGACAATGCCGACGTGATGCGTAGATGCCTGGAGTTCCCACGGTGCGAAGCGCTGATCAGGAACACGTCCAATCTGATGTGTCAATCTCCTCCCATAGATTTTTGAATTGAGTACTAACTGCTTGCCAATCAATGCCGAGCCGTTCTGCAGCCTGCGTGTCCCATGCCAGTTTCGTAGCTTCCTCAGGGCCTTGAACCTGTACCGAGACGATCGCTGTCTGGCCGATGTAGACCAGTCCTTTAGGTCTCCGTGCCCAGCACTCTGTAGAACGCATGCTAGCCACCGTCGAAGACGCCGCAGCTGTCCGAACCAGTCCCAGCAGCTTCTTGGTCTGGACCTCCTTCCGAATGTCCTTCGCATTCTTATCAGGGTTGACGTACAAGGCGACCCGAGCTCCACTGACAGCGAGCACCTCAAATTGGCGCCAGCCTTGATTATTGGGCAGCTTGAGTGATGTCTGCAATGCATTGGCTCGGGCAATTCCAGCAGCTCCTCCGATGCACTGCAGAATGAACTTCTTCTGCGGGGTGTCGCCAACCAATCGCAGCTGGTCCCTGGAGACACTGGCCGCCTGCAACCATTCATCAAGTGCATTGAGTATGTCATTCGGAGCAGCCGCCACATCGCAGGACAGGATGAAGACCGAGGGGTCGACGGTGCGGTTCCACTCCATGAGCTTGGCAACGTCGATGGGTGCAGCCACCTGCTGCTCGGCGATGGCCAGGGTGTCCTGAAGCTGCTTGACCGACGCCTTGAGGGCCTCTTGCTCTTGGCTGAGCTCCTCATTCTTGGCTTGAACCACTCGAAGCTGGGC